GCCAGGCCCTGGTCGTCAGCTTCGTCTGGAGAGCGGCCTGGAGGCCCGAGACGGCGGCGGCCTCGTCCCAGGCCTCGGCCCCCGCGACCTCGAGCTCGGAAGCGGCCTGCCGGCTCGGGCAGCCGCGGGGAGGAGGAGGAGGAGGAGGAAGAGGGGGGCGCAGACGACGGGGAGGCCGAGGAGGAGCCTGAGGAGGAGGAAGAAGAGGAGGAGGACTTGATCGATGGCTTCGCCATCGCCAGTTTCGCCACCCTCGAGGCCTTGCAGGTGGGGCCTTAATGGGAATAGGGACCTTTGGGGGCTTCGGGGGGCCAGAGAGAAGGGTACGGCGTTTAGAGTGGGTGGAGTTAGGGGGGAATGCTGGCACCCCAAACCAGAGCAACCGGCTCCTCTGGCCAGGCCTCTGCCCCACCCTGGGGTGGGAGGAGGTAGAGCCAGTCTCCAGGGACCAGCCAGGTTACCCGGCCTGAGAGCCACTTTGGTAGCTTGGTCACCCCTAGAGAGGTGGGGGGCTTTTCTTTCTCCATCTGCTTTAGTCCCACCTCCTCCTCCACAGAAGGATGCGTCTCTTCAGCCCCCAGAACGACTGGAACATCGGTTGAAGCATTCTGGGAAGCGGAAGAGGGGGGGCTCCAGTGGGGCCACTGGGGAGCCAGGGGACAGCTCTGATCGGGAACCTGGCCGGCCCTCTGGGGATCGGGCTAGAAAATGGCCCAATAAACGGAGAAGGAAAGAGGTGAGCTTGTCCCAGATTCCTGTCCTGTAAAACTCGGGTAGTGTGTCCTTCAGCCCGGTTTTCCATCAGCAGTAACGCTATCAGTGGTAAACAGTGACTGCAGTCTCTGAGGGTAAAGAGGCAGGCTGGGCCAAAGTGAGCTCCCATTCCCCTGGCCAGGTTTGAGAATGTCAGTGCAGTAGCCAGACTCACTTGCTTTTGATTGGCACTAAGTTTACTTTAGACGTGTTGGTAATTTCGGAGTTGGATGTCAGGGACTCTGTTGAATCATAAATGAACTAGACATGGTCTCCGCCCTGCCCTCAAGGTGGTGGCAGTCTAGCAGGAAAGATGCAGCCTGCGAACAAATCTACAAACAAGGCAGAGATCAGGGAGAGACACTGCAGAAACCCACATGAGGAAGCCACTTAATCAAACTGGGGGATGGGAGGAGGGTTGTGGTGTGGGAAAGCCCCCTAGGATGCTTTAGTCAGGCCTTGAAGGACAGTCATACGTTTGCTAGGAGGAGAAACAGGGCAAAGTAGTTTTGGGCAAAAGCACAGAGATGGTTTGTTGAGAAGTATGGTGAGAGCAGTGAGGGAAGGTGAGAGCAGTGAGGGAAGGCAAGAGCAGTGGGGAAAGGGTGGGCAGTGGCAGAAAAAACACGAAGGGATTGAGAGTAGGTCACTAGGGGCCTTGAGTGCCTTGCCAGAGTGTTTCGACTTTATCCAAAGGCCTTGCCTGTCAGCTTCTCTCACCTCTGGACTCTGGTCTTTCTCAGGCCTCCTCCCGTCATTCTGTGGAAGCTGGATACATAGTAAGTGCTATCCACCTGTGCTGGCCCCTCCCCTCACCCTCTCTGGAAGTCCCCTCTCGACCTTGGGCCCCGCTCTTCCCTCTTGTGACACCTCTGTCTTTCCTTCTCCCTAGTGTGATGCAGAAAGTGATCTGGACGAGAGGGTGAGTAGGGCTAGAACTTGCCGGGTGGGCAGTATCACAGTGTGTAAAGTGAACTGCAGCTTACAGGGTTCTTGTGTTCAGCAGACCCTCCCCTTGAGTGGGAAACAGTGGTTAGGTTGAACCAGGATTAGGTTTTTGGGAGGTGGGGGGGGGATTGAAAGGGCAGAGCCACTTAATAATCAAAGACTGAACGGCCCATGTCTTAGTGTGCCATCCTTTTCAAAGCCCATGGAGATACCAGCTGCTCCCCACGGAAATCCAGAGTGGCTACAGAGCTGAGCTGGTCCTTCCTGCTGGCCATTAGTCTGCACTGACAGATTAAGAGTATGAGCAGAGAAGTGTGGCAGCAAAGATGCCAGAGCCCCGTAGTGAGTGTAAGAAGTTACTCTGTAGTGGTACATTTCAGTTTACTTTGAGGACAGGTTTGCTTGTTCTGAAGTTGTGGGATCTAACAGTTGATGCTCTAAATGTGTGCTCCCTGTTATATGTCCTGTTTTCATTTATAAAATTGACCGAACAGGTGCTACAGTGAACCCAGAAGGTCCTTGTCCATCTAAAGGGAGCGGCCACTATCCAGTTCTAGCTAATTGTTGCCACGCAAGACTGTAGGCCCAGTCACAAGAGAACCTGCAACTCTGTGTTTTTACGAGGAGTTGCTGCATTTCTAAACATTAGCAAGTAGTTAAAACTTTTTTGCTGACACTTGTGGACCAAACCAGTGTGTAGGCCAGGTGCACCAGTGGGCCAACAGTGCACATTTTGCTTTGACTTGTTCATTTTTCTGCCACTTCAGTGCTG